GAAAAAGACAGCGGGTCCTGATAATATTCCTTGTTATATCCTAAAAGCTTGTAAAGATTATTTAATATACCCTTTGCTGGTAATTTTTAATAAGTCGCTTAAAACATCCATATTTCCTAGTGAATTTAAAAGAACGAGATTAACACCAATTTTTAAAAAAGGAGATAAAAATAAAATAGATAATTATCGTCCCATAGCCATATTAAATTGTACGGCGAAACTGTTTGAATTTGTAATATATGATAAACTGTATGCTTACTTTCAAAAATACATATCAACCGAACAACACGGATTTTGTCGTAAAAAATCTGTAGATACAAATTTATTAACTTTCAGTGATAAAATATCAAAATGTGTCAATTCTCGTGAGCAAGTAGATTGTATTTATACTGATTTTAAGAAAGCCTTCGATAAGGTAAATCACAATATTCTTCTAGCTAAACTGAAATATTATGGTCTTAGCGATCATCTAATAAATTTCTTTATGTCTTATCTAAAACTAAGGTATCAATACGTAATGTTTGGTGGTGAAGTATCTCATGCAATCCTCGCAGGCTCTGGGGTCCCTCAGGGCTCCAATTTGGGCCCTCTACTTTTCTTAATATTTGTTAATGACCTTCCTCTACGTATAACATCAGACTGCCTAATGTATGCAGATAATCTGAAAGTTTTTAAGAAAATATCCACCCTAGATGACTATGTAGACCTTCAAAATGACTTAGACTCAATTTCGGATTGGTCATTTGAAAATAAATTACATTTTAATCTTTCCAAATGCAAGGTTATTACATTCAGTAACATTTGTAATCCTCAAAATTTTATCTACACAATGCAAGGATCAACACTAGAAAGAGTGTCAAAAATGACCGACTTGGGAATAGTTTTTCAAAATAATTTCAAATTTGACGAGCATATCCATAACATTACCAAAGAAGCTAACAAATTGTTAGGTTTTTTGAAACGCACGACTAGGGACTTTACAGACACACACTCGATTAAAAATGTATTTTTTGCTCTCGTTCGTAGTAAATTAGAATATGCATACACTGTATGGGACCCTACACAACAAAATTTAAAACACATTTTGGAAACTATTCAAAATAAATTTGTCAAATATTTATACTTTAAAAAGTATCATACAAGTCCAGGATTTGTTTCATTTGGACCTATTAGAAAAGAGTTTGAAATTGAAAAATTGGAACATAGACGCTCTATAATCAACCTTATCTTTTTACATAAATTATTAAATGGATATTTGGACAGTCAATATTTATTGAGTCAAATAAAAATTAATGTTCCAATAGCAGGTATTCGTCCACGACAATTAACTTTTCGTGCGGATAATCATGCTCCAGTAGAAAAAATTTGTCTTTTGTTTAATGTACACTCCGAAGACATTTCTTGCGGTATTTTTGATGTAGCTATAAGCACATATAGAAAGGAACTTAACAAAATTGTTGGGCTCGATTAAAGAGATATAACCTTGTAGGATTTCCGTGGCCTTGATGTGGGGTTCTGCAGACGCTCTGATTATTCCTGAATATTTCTGATTATTTCAGTAGTTTTGTTCTTTAACGAACTTTGTTAAAATTTTGTAGTAGCGAGGTTTGTTTATTATAATTTCACTTATATATTTAATTAGATATTATGTATTTTTGTTGATTTCTATTTTCGCTGTATTTATAGGAACATGTAATTAGGCTCATGCCTGTTTGTTTCTGGAATAAATAAATAAATAAATAAATAAATAATGGTTGCCTAGTACATTTCGTAAAGATAGACGTCCTAGATGTACTTCTGGTATTTTTATCAAACCACCTATTTTAACAGGTAGGAATGTACAATGCGATTGTGTAAGCATTTTATTAGTTTGTTTTTTAGCTACTGTTTGCCCCCTCTTCTTTCTGTATCAGCTGCTTTTTTATTGACATAAAGTTTGCATAATAGCAAATCCAAATTTGCACCACATTTTGTGGGACTTACATGCTATCACAAACAAAACGTTTAGTCATACTGGCATTTGGTTATCGAACCTTCTGCTGTTTCTAAAATGCAAAACAGAAGTGAGTAAATCATTATTTCGTGTCGTGGGTAACATACTTTACCCGCAACGCGTTCTGGGTATTTAACTTTATTCACATTGTTCGAAAAAAATGTTTCTAACCGCATCGTTGGTATAGCAGAAGTAAAAGTTGGAAGGGCTTTTGCCAGTTCTCCCATTTTATATACATAAATTGACAGGTTTGCGGCGAATCTCACCGAAGTGGACGCGATACATTGGCGTACAAAATCAATTTATAGATGTTAATAACAATTTCGAGTAAATAGTTTAATAAATTGTGAATAGCTGTTGAAATTTTGTAAAATAATGATTTGAATATTATAATACATGTTTAATAATTATTTATAGTCCATAAATACATGCGATTGTCCGGTTCCGTCGATAACAATTTAAAATTACTTATTCTATGAAACGATACTGGCAGATAAACATTACTGCGAAATTCTCGAAACCGTCTGACGTGGTTTGACGTTTACCCCCTCTCTACCTACCAAAAGCTTTTCCAACTTTTACTGTCGCTATACCATGCACATAAAGCGTTGTTGACAAAAAATTCGGACAGTGGACCATTGTGAATAACATACACACGTCTAAATTTTACTTTTTTTGCTCCGGACTACAACTGTATAAATCCTCATAACATCCACTATGTAATTTAAATCGTCTACCAACCATAAATTTAAATACATTAATGTATTGGATTACTATGTGTCCACTGCCATTCAGTGAAGTTTATTTGGATCGATACCTATCCCGTTTTACCCTTTTTAAACATCAAGACATGTACATGACATTTCTGACAGTTTCGGGTCAGTTTTCAATGTGAAGATAATGATGAATTATGATCGTGTTTTATTGAATGTATTCAGTAACACTTACTACAAAATATTTTTAATTTCAGATATAAAATAGCAGTAAAAATATGGATTTCAACTATTTCAATATTTGTCGAAATATTTTATATAGTTTAAGAATACAATCACGCATAATCTTAATTAATAAAATGTACCTTGACCTAGACATATTCTGTGCTTACTATACAAGGTAATTTTTTAATTATGGGACACAGAGAAATATGTTTTCTCTCCTTCTACCTTCATTCTTAGACGTCTTGATCATTAGAAAATCCATATTTAAGTTAAATTAGGGTTAACATATGAAAAAATATATACTGATCTATATTTTATCATTATTGTTCCGAAACCAGTTACCAACCCCTTCTTATCAATAATAAAATAATTTTATGTGTTATTTGAGTTGTTTTATTTTGTTACCATATTGAAAAAAACATTTAAAGAAGCCATTTCGCAGTCTCAGCATGGTTTCTATCGAAATAGATCCATCGACACAAACTTGGCTTGCTTTATGACAAATACCTCAGTGGTCACCCATCAGGGAGGGCAGATGGATGTAGTGTACACAGACTTTGCCAAAGCCTTTGATAAAGTTGATCATTCTATTTATTGCGTAAATTAACAGCATATTCATTTAGTAAGCCTTTCATCAAGCTATTGTCTAGTTATTTACTGACAAGGAAACAACTCGTAACATTTCGTGGGAAATATTCTAGAGAATTTTTGGCAAAGTCAGGAGTTCCACAGGGATCAAACCTCGGCCCTCTACTATTTTTGCTTTTTATCAACGATTTGTCGGATAACATGCTAAGTAAGTCCTTACTTTATGCTGATGATTGTAAAATATTTAGGAAAATTAATAATCAGAATGACCATGATCAACTACAACAAGATCTTGATAAATTATATAATTGGACAATAAGAAACAAACTGGACCTTAATTTAAATAAATGCTTTATTGTAAGCTATACAAAAGTAAAAAATATAGTTAAATACAGATATATCATAAATAATCATAACCTTGAAAGAAAAACTGAAATAACTGACCTTGGGGTAATTTTTCAAAATACATTAAATTTTAATAAACATATTCAACAAATCGTACATAAATCAAAAAAAATGCTTGGTTTTGTCAAAAGAACTACATATGATTTCAAAAATATAGAAACAATTAAAGCACTTTATTCTTCTTTAATACGAAGTAGGCTGGAATTTGCAACAATTATATGGGATCCTGGGATATTAAACTTGAAGAAACTTCTTGAGACTGCCCAAAATAAATTTATTGCCTATCTTCACTATAAAAAATTCGGTCTTACGAAATAATAAGAAAGGATTTTAAATTAGTCAAATTGGAAAAACGAAGAATTAACCATAAGTTATTGTTTTTGTATAAACTGCTAAATAATAAAATAAACTGTGAATTTTTACTATCTGAAATTAAATTTTATATCCCAGGTCATGTCGTTCGGCCTAAAAACAAACTTTTCTTTATACCAAAACACATGCTGCTATTGGATAATATCTGCTGCATATATAATAACCACAATACATCTTTAAATCTGGATATATTTAATACATCACTTAAAACTTTCAAATCCCACCTGTTAAAATCAGAATTTGCATAGAGATTTAAATATTATATATATAAAAAAAAAGACTCATTGTGAAACATGCTTACCTAATTTATATTGATTATTTTAAGATTTTCCAGATTTTGATTAATTCATTGAATATTTTTTATTTTAACAATCTTATTTATATACTATTTTTAATTCTAATGGAGCATTGGTAGATGCAAGTAGTTATAAGTTTCGTAAATTATTTTTGTTTTTGTACTTATACTCGTATATATTTTTTATTTCTTTTTTCTTTTATATTAACTTTATTGGGAGCATTGGTAAATGTATTTAGTTGTAGTTTCATTTTTCTTAGGAGAACATGTAATGAGGTTATAAAACCTGTTTGTTTTCTGTTAAATAAATAAATAAATAAATAAATTTATACTTTTCCTCTTGTTGAAATATGAAGAAATTTATACAATCAAATTATTGTTAATAAAAATTAATTATAGAATAACTCACCTGACTAAAAAACATAATATTTCTGCTCCTCCATATACTCCCTTTGGGTTTGTCTCGTAAAATTGGCAAAGTATAACGAAAGAAAAGATGCTCTACTAGCAAAATGAGTAATCCAAGAGCGATGCCCACTCCCAGAAGAATGAACACTCCTGTGACGGCGGCGACTCCTAAGGGACGAGGTTGAGCAATGTCAGTAGCTAGTTTAAAACAGGGAAGGCCTCCATACCACTTTTCCTGTAAAATGTCCATGTAACCGTTGTTGGAATATTTGGCTATTACCGCTGATATACTGTCCTGAAATACAAAAAGGAATATTCAAAATAAATAAACCGCATGTAAATATTTAAATTTTTATAAATTTTTAATTATTTAGATATACAGGGTACAAAAAAATTAGTCATAAATTATACCAGATGAGACTTGCTTTACGTAAAATTGTTGAATTTTAGCAATTTGTAATTTTTAGGTCTCTTATTTCATATAGTCTATGTATTCATTTGTTTGCTTGAAGTTTATTTCATTTATTTTATTTTATTTTATTTATTGATACACTGCTCAACAGGCAATTCCAATTACAGAGCAGGAAATTCTGACAAAAATAAATAAGAAAACATAAGAATAGATAAACATTATACAGACTTAAAAATTTCAGACTTAATGCTATTCTACAATTTCACCAATAAAAACATCAACAAATTAATATTTTACATCTACTAAATAAATAAACAATTCTCAAATAGTTCGACTTCTTTTTACCCTAATATAATGTGAAGTCCTTAAACCATAAATAGCATTTTTCTCAGAATACCGAACGTCGAACACCTGTGTTTTCAGTTGCACAGCTGTGCAGTGGAACAAAATGAGTGTCCGGCGCATAGTTAACGAACCACAAATGACGTATTTCATTATGTCATGATGTTTTTATTGGTTGAAACCGAATAGGTGCATCAACTATGACCCGGACACTCATTTCGGCCCAACAGTATATATACGGGTGAGCTCGACGCGAACAGGGAGTCACAGTTGTCTTTGCCATCCGAACGTTCAGGAGCTTTCTGCCGACGGCACGTTACTTTTTACATTTCTACAAGCGTTTAATGCAGTTTATTTTCTGGTGAAAGTTATATCTTCTACAATGATTATGGCATAAGAAATTCTACAAACAAATGTTTTCAAGTTGGTAACTAAAAAATCAACTGTATTAGTTAATCAAATTGTGACGAACTAAAATTGTAAATATTTAAAACTGTTTAGTGAAGATGAGAAAATTATTATATCTAAATGGCATCAACCACTACGTATTTACTTCAGTAAAAATAGTAAATTAAAAACACTTCTTTTTCTACTACCTATGACTCGTTAGTTATTTCTACAAAAGAACCCAATTCTTCTAACATTAGCGACATATGCTACAGAACATTTTTACCAAAGAAATATTCGGAAGTAGCACTGGTATTTTTTCAGCTATATACACTACAATTGAATATATCTATGGTGTTACTGACTAAGCTACATAATGTACACATATTATGCACTGGTGATGATTTTAAAACGTTGCAAAGTATGAACGGAACAGTTTTATGACAGACTCTAACAACATAACATATACTGACAGAATTTTGAAAAGTAAAAAAAAATTGTAATTTTATTTTATAATAAAGAGTTTTGCCGAATCCCTACAAACTTTATTTAACAAAAGTTTAGACTGCCATCTGCTACAAAAATCACATAATAATATACTTATAATTATTGAGGAAAGTAATATTTTCGTAGTTTAAAGTTTACTAAAAAAAATTAATAGTCCGAATCCAATATTTGTAACACACCACAACTGATAATCGTTTATTTGAATTTAAAGATACAAATAATGGGAGACGTCTCTGAATATTTGCTATTCAGGTTAGTGGGTATATCCGAAAAGGAAATGTTTAAAGATGAGACATCACAGATATTAACCAAGCTATAAAAACTTCTGGTTAAGTTCCAGATTAGTACTAAAGATTTAGTTAGCTATAGGGTAATTTGCATTATTTAAATGATATTGATTACATTCTTCCTCGAACTGGTACAAATTTTAATAAACTTTACCAAATTAAGCCAATATTGGACCGATTTATGGTTTCCTTCAAGCTATCACAAAATGCTTCAATCGATGAATCTGTGATAAGATATACATACCTAAGGCAGGTTTAGTTTAAAAGAAAAAACCTAGAAAAAGTGAATATAAAGTGTAAAAATTAACTGATCATTCTGGTTATTGATACAAATTTTAAATTTACACTGTATAACCAAGGAAGGTGTAGAGAGAGGTTTAGGTGGCCCAGTCGCATGATTTACTTGATTTATAGAATTTGGTGAAATGACATGTGTTATAGAAACTTATCTAAACTTGTTCAATCCAACAAATTTTGCAGGACACTGCTTCAGGAGGTCTTCAGCCACTTAGCTGACAAATTCTGGAGGAGACCTTCTAACAGTTAAAAACCATAGAGGACGGAAGTCATCTGTTGTTGCAGATGGCTACGTAGATAGCACAATTACACTAAAGAATAAAATTTCTAATAAAATTTTGATAGATAAACTTGCCATCCACTTCCGAATAAAATGTTTTGATAAGCTACAATTTTACCCTTGACAACTCTAATGAAGAATTAGTGGAACCACTCGATAGTGAAACTAGAGTTACAGAAGCAATACCACAAAATTTTTCAACCTCTTTACTTAAAGAAGTCAAATCCATACCATCAGATGTTCAAAATAAGATTTTTAATAACGTATAGCTACTAAAAGAACAAAAAAGAAATTTGTAAATATCATGTACCGATTTTATAATAAACACATTTTTACCTTTAATGGAAATCCCTTTGTCATCCCGATAGCATAAGTATCTTCGTTAATGGTGTCGCCTATTTTCTGCAGCTTACATCCATGATCAGTCGCTCTGTAGTAGTCCAAAACAGGAGTATCAGCAATGAGGATATCCAAGGATCCGTTTCGAAGTTTCACAACACCTTCTTCGATATTTTCTAACGAGTATTTGTGCATGTGTTGCCACAAGAGTTGGTTGGCTTTTTGGACGTAATATTCGGCTGCTGATGATCGAGGGGCTCCTACTTTTTGACTAAGCAACTGAAAAATAAAAATATATTCTATAGCTAATATGGTTTAATGAATTCCCCTGACCTAGTATTATGGTCATGAAAGTGAAAGCTCGAACCGAAACCATTCTTATTATTATGAATTTCAAGCAGTATTTCATAGGTAAGGACATAATCATTAATTTTAAAAATAGATAGAAAAATAAAGTTATTACGTATTTTAAATGTTCTCCTTTAAAAGATCTTTCAATTGGTATATAACTGGGAATGGAGCAATTTCCTATACATTTCTGCCCTTTGTCCTTAATATTGAATAATTAATAAACTCTTCTAGCTTTTAAGATTTTCGAAAAATGTATTTATTAATAAAACATTAGATGGCTAAAAGAACCAATAAATGTTTGATTTAAAGGTTTATTAAAGCTATTTTTGGTTTTCTGATAAATCATGGTATTATATTTTGCTTTTCATAATTTCTTCGTGTGCGGCACTCGTCACATGGCTCGTAATAAAAACTTTTATGCTCTCGGGAATAATAATTAATTGTCTAAAAGCTATAAAATTAGTCAGTTACTAAATTCACAAATTTAATACAATCTATATATAATATGCCGCATATTAAATGTTGAAATTAACATCAAAATGAAACCAGAACTCAATAATTATCAAGCCGAGCTATACCGATAAAAGCTTCTCATCGATGGAAACCACTAATGCGCTAGTTTAATGACCACAAATTTAATTTTCGTTTAAATGTATTGTTGAAAAGGGAATATATCTAATATGAATTAAATAATATGTAACATAAACAACTACTAGACTAATCCTTTACTTTACTTGCAATAATTCAATTCGTATTTTATGTTAGATAGATAGAACTGTCGCCTTGGCTGCCGCATTGGTAAGAGCGAGGCGTATACTAAATTAAGTGTGATTGGTGTTTGCAAGCACGCGAATTAAAATGATCCAGGTAATAGGTTGCTACTCAAATGCTCATCACTTCAGTTGGGGCAGTAAGGATAACAGCGCTAGAGGTAAGTCACTTTATCATTATAACAATTATACATTAACATTTTTAAACTTTCGCAGTCAAACACTAATAGATATCACTTTATCCATAACTGGTATTTATAAATCAATTCTAAACTGGCAAGTGTCTAATAATATTTCGATGTCAGACCACCGCTGGTTAACATTCAAAATAAACTTGATGTTGCCGACCTCTACGCTATCTCTGAACCCTGGGAAGATGGACAGGACAACCTATGCCCACCTTCTTTAAGAGTCTCTGAGAGAGATGGAGGCCGAAACACCAAACAGTGACAATGCTTTGGTTAAGTATTCGAACACTATCCAAAGCACAATAAACAATGCCTATAAGAAATCCTATCCCCTGAGGCTGGTTCAACACGAGCAGACGACTACCGCATGGTGTTGGACCACCTCAGGAAGATGGCTAGGAAATCCTTTAATAAAGCAAGAACCACAAAATTTAAAGAGGAATGGCATACTTCAGAGAATACACCAAAATCGTCAGACAAAAACAGAGAGATGCATGGAGATCCTACTGTGAAGAAATAAAAGATTTCCTGCAGTTAGCAGGGCTTTAAAAAGCTTTCTTAAAAGATCCATACTCCATAATCAAAGAAAATGGCGCAGAAACTGCTTCTGCGGTCATAACAGACATAGTCGACATCTTCTCTCCGTTTAAATCGCCAGAACCTGACGGTATCTATCCAGTCCTACTTTAGTTAGGTCTTAAAGAACTCACACCGCAGCTGGTGGGTATATTCAGATCATCGTTGGCTCTGAGGTTTTATCCCCAAAAAATGGAGAGAGGTAAAAGTGGAATTCATACCCAAACCTGGACGAATGGATTACATTGCCCAAAGACATATCGACCAATTAGTGTAACATCGTTTTCCATAAAAACATTGCATTGCAAAGGCTATGCAAAAGGTACATAAGGGATGCGGTAATTACAACAACACCACTACACCCAAACCAACATGCATACACCCCAGGTAGATCTACTGATTCATCCCTTCATCTAGTTGCTGGTCGGATAATAAGGAGTCCGCCTTGGGTGTTTTCATAGACATAAACGGTTCTTTTGATAAAACCACCTTCTTCAAGATAATAAACTCACTAACCAACAAGAATATTCCACAGATGGTTAGTGGGTGAATACATAACATGCTCTCAAAGCGATCAGTAAACATAAGTGTAGAAGATGTGAATATAAAAGGCTTGCTTGCAAGGGGATGTCCACAGGGAGGGGTGCTATCACCTCTACTGTGGAACATGGTCCTCGACACCCTCATCTGCCGCCTCAATACACAATAGCATATGCAGATGACCTGGTCGATCTGCAAACAGGGAATTTTGATAACATATTCTACGAAAGAATACAAGCAGCTCTCAAAATTATAGCACAGTGGTGCAAGGACAACTTACTATCTATCAATCCTAAGAAGACAGAAATAGTCCATTTCACAAGGAAAAGGATAAAAATGGAATTAAAACCTCCAAAACCCCTAAACACAAAACTAAACTTTGCAACTGTTTGTTCCACTGTATACTAAATATGAGAATTGATTTTGTTTTCTTTCTCTTCATATTTAATATTGCCGCAGACCAACCTTTAAACGAACTGTACAAATTCAATTTAAAGTACATTCATTCAATTAATATTAGAACAAGTATGCCTTATGAAATTTTTATCCAAACAGTTAACGAACCTGAATAAAATCAATAATTTATTCTGGCTCCTTATTTAAGAAGCTTTTCAATTAGAAAACCCTATTAGACGTGGCAACCGGCTGAAATAACAAGCTTTCCATTGTGTGCTCAAAAATTTCATTGTTTATTTTGCATCTCAATTAGAAATTAATTAGTGCTCTCCTTGGTCCGTCTTTCCCCACTTAGAGAAATTAAAACAAGAATTGTGCTGCCCGCATTAGAGCTTAGCACTACTTCTTTGATAGAGTGTTATTATTGAATCAGTAATATCAGCCGGGACACACATTCAACTAACGGTACAAATTGTGATGAGGAGCCAAATGGACTGATATTTGTGATTTTTAATACACAAACACTTAACTGATTCAGTTTCAAAACAAATCTCATACAAATTACAGTTCGTTTATAGGTAAATGATATTTTTTTAAATTAACTGTATCCGTGCATCTTCCTATTGTAACCCTTCTACTTATTTTGTTATAACTTTTTATTACTTATACAAAAGATAAATCTTGGTGAAATGAGGTCTATGTTCGCTTGAAGTATTGAACGTCTTTCACCAAAAGCGACGTGTCGCCTTACCAGATTTTATATCAGATTCTATTCAAACCGTTCGAAGAAAGTCGCAAACTCCCCCCAGTCAAGGTGGAACAAAAAAGGGCTAGAAATGATCCGGCATCGACTGGCAAGTACAGTGATACCCTAAGAGGAATACAGTTGTCTATCATCAACAGAAGGCATCCGGATACTATACTGGACCAAGGAGAAGCAGACTTGTTACAGGAGGTATTGGTGGAACAGCTTTCCACTGTCTCCTCAGACAGTGACAGTGCACCTCAATTCCTAAAAACATCATACAGTGCAAAAATCATATGGATGACCTGCACTAATAAAAAAACAGTAGACTGGCTGAGTGAAATGGTTGACACTCTTGAAAGACTCTGGGAGGAGGAGGATTTAACTGTGGTTCAATCCAAGGACCTTTTAAGACGACCTAGAGTGCTGGTCTTCTTCCCAGACCTGTCAGAAGTAGACAGAGCTAGGATACTTCTTCAGATCCAAAATCAGGAGCTGAAGACGAAAGACTGGCTGTTAATGAGCCGAAAGATTGAAAAAGAGGGACAACTCATTGCCTTTTCAATCGATGTGGCATTATATCAGGTTCTAGAAAGGTCACAAATCCGAGCTTATTATAGGCGGGGAAGAGTGACGTTTAGAGTCTTAAAGCAACCTGCCGTAGGAGATCAGGATGCTACAGATCAACCTACAGCATTATAGACAGTACTTTCAGCTGCTATAGAATGGTTTGAAGTAACACTAATACAGAAACCGTGGATTAGGCACGGTGAAATAAAGGGGTTAGAAGGTGTAGGTGTAGAGTTGATATACAACAGGTCCACAAACACCTTCACCTCAAAAAAGGTATCAAAATACTGGCGTTAATAAATTTTTGTTCGAAGGATATAACAGCGGTGAGACTCAAGATCAATGAGGGAAGTAGACCAAGGGATATAAAAATCGAATGGGCACATTTCCCTTCAGATAATCGTGAAGCAACACCTACCAGAGAAGTAGAGGAGCTGGTGAGATTTTGCAGGCGCAATAGACTTCAAACGATCATCAGCTGCGATGCGAATGAGCACCACAGGATCTGAAGGAGCAACGATACCAATAAAAGAGGTGAGTCTTTACTACAATTTATCATGGAAAATAATTTTGGCATAATGAGTGTAGGCACTAAATCTACCTTTAATACAAAGAATAGAAAAGATGTACTCGATGTAAATAGCCTCAACTTATTTCAGTATATATGTTACAGGAGGGCATGTGTCTGATGAGGAAAGTTATTCAGATCACAGACACATAAACTTTCAAATAAAAGGTAAGATTACCAGAGAAACTTATCGGAACATCTGGGAAACAGAGTGAGAAGTATACAATGTCTTCCTGGTGTATAATATTCCAAGGATGAGAATGACGATAAGGAAAATAACAGATCTTAAAATGGCTGAGAAGGTCTTTAATGACACAATCACCAATGCCTTCAACGAAATCTGTCTTTTAATAGCAAGAAACTTTACCAGGAATGTTCTATGGTGGAACAATGACCTTCCGAAGCTAAAGAACACATTTCACGAGGCCACATAGCACCCTAAGTACCGGTATTAATAAAACTTACCGAAAAGTCAAGTGTAATTCCTGGAGAAGGCACTGTGAACAGTCAAGAATGTGCGACTCAAGAAAATTCTTTCAAAAGACAAATAGAACACAAACTTTTTTAATAAAGAATTAGAAGAGTACACAAAAAGAAGTACACCAGAGAAGACTGGCAGATTGCCAAAAAAAGTGGTGGATTTGTGACAAAGTGAAATTGGAAATCAAGCATACAAATTACCGGGAATAAATGGGATTTATCCATTATTGCTGCAGAGGGTATCTGATGTTTTATAGAGAAGACTGCAATATACTCAGAACTAGTCTAGTACTTGGATACATAGCAAGAGCATGGCGAAATATTAGGGTTTCTTTTAAAACAAAACCTGAAAAAATCGGCCTAGGACCAACAAATCTAATGTCTTTTGTCCCTAATACTGCTAGATAGACATATTAGAGACGGAGTATTGGTTTTAAGACCAATTAACCAGGACCAATACGCTTATAATAAAGGAAAATCAAAAGAATTAGTTCTACATCAATTAGTGAAAAGGGTGGAAAACACACTGGGAAACAAGTTGGTAATGTTAGAAACTTTCTTGGACATCTAGGGAGCATTCTAAAATACCTCCGTTGACTCTAGCATCAGAACTCTGAAATGTAGAGTAATCAGGGACACATGTGTGACTTAGATACACACTATGCAAACAAATTGAATTTGATGAGTTTCAATTTATTTGAATTATATATGGTTAATTTTTAGTTAAATTTGATTTGCAAATATTTGTTTATAAGGTTTTAATTCAATTAAATTGAGATTGGGGCTACAATTGACTGGAAACTTACCTGTTCTTAAGATTTGAAAAGAACAATAAAAAAAAGTGAAAATATTACTAGCGATGGCAAGACGCTCCTTTGGAAAAATGGAAACTGAAACCAAGTATGGTACACTGAACATACAATATTGTGGTAAGATCGATAATAAGGGTAAGAGAAAAAGGATAATTGGTAAGTTTTACATGGTTAATAAGATTAAAAAGATGAAATATTGATTTAATTAAAGTGAAATTAACAAAACTAATGAACTAATACCACTAATATTTATATATTCATACTAACAAAAATTATTCTAATTAATGTACTAACTGAATGAAAAAAATGGAAAAAAACGAAAAAATTGCTAATGAATATTGATAAAAATGTTGAAACCACAATCACCATCAAAAAATGGTAAAAGATGAAAAAATCACTACATAATATATTAAAAAAAATAAGAAACTGACGATGATCTCTTATCCATTAGGGATAAGATAACTGAATTACAGTCTTTTGAAGGAAGCGAAACGAACTGAATATTTATTTTTCTTTAAACATTGGCACTTGTGAAGGGTTAAAAAATAAAATTAAAAAATTATTTTAAAATTAGTTATTTTGTCTTAATAACCTAAAATAATTTTTTAAATTTGTAGATTGTTAGTGGGTCATAGAAAAAATATACTGTACAACTCAATTGTCCATATCATATTTAGACGATTTTAGCACTCCGCTCACTTCGTCTTCGTGCGATATGGCCATCATATTCACTCTTGTTGCACCAACTACTATTTCTATATCTACAAATTTTTTGGAACTAATAAAGAATGGGCTGTTTTCAATACTTTAAGTAAAACAAAAAATAAATACTTACACTTCGATCATGGTAGTTGCTGACGGTGTTATGAAAAAATAACCCAGCAATCAACGCAGCTATGTTGGCAGTGTAACTGGCTACAAATATAACTGAAAATCCTCCCCATACGTTGATTAGGAACTTGTTCGGCCAACTTTTAGGAGCTTTAAAAGCAACTAGGTGACCACACAGAAGACCCCACATTACCCATAATGCCGAACTCATGCTGAAGTTCTTGGAGCGCTGCCTCCCCCAAGGATTGAGGCCGAATGGACTAAGCCATTCGTAGATGGCGACCGCTATTGCCGTTATATTCAAACCTGGAAAAGAAAACATAACAATTCATATTAATGTGTAGAAACGAAAAGGAAGGTAAAAAAAAAGTTTTGGTAACAATAAATACATCATACATTGATCACGCAGGGGCATTATCAGTTCCGAACTTCGATTCAATCAAATTAAACCTACCAAGTTGAAATTTTAACCTAGAACATTTTTGGATTTACCATCGTGGATCTGTTTTACTTAGATCTATCTATTTTACTGGATAGTAATTTTGAGGCATTGATATTTTAATTTTTGGTAATAATTAATATGGTTTAAAGAGATCCAATAATTTATACGAGTTGTTACCTCTGATAGACTCATAACTGAGAGTTAAAATAACAAAATTAGGCAGTCAGAGAGAAAGAGAAAAACTAAAATCGAGAGAGATATTGCTACACACCAATTTAAAGAAATTTTAAAGAATTCCATCGACATTGGATGCGTATTTAAGTAGTTTCAGTAATTCAAATACAGTTGCGTCTTTCGTGTCAACTAGTAATAACTTAGGCAGCACATATGCTGGCATATGTCAACAATTTGCCTATTTGCCAAAATGTATTGCAATATTTATAAAAAATTTACAGAATATATTTCCTAGTGTGCATTCTAGAAAGATATTCCAGGCATATGTATTTTTGATATGCCTACAATATTTATATTTGTATTGTGCAGATATCTCTGAAAAATATTCTTACATTAGAATATTCCTATGTTTTCTTCATAGATAAAAAATAAGTATAGTTTTCCTATAATGTGGACAAGAAAATTTTTCAGAATGCTTTTTAGTCATCTATTTCCTATCCAGTAAACATTACAGTTCAGTGGATGTAGCTGGTCCGTAATGGATATATAATAGATTGAATTTATAATTATCCATTTAACTTTGTGAAATAACTTTTTCTACCACCTCTTCATTCAATGTTATTGTAACTATCTCCCTTATCTCTGATTGTAACAATCAAAATTAAAAAAATACGTTGATATTGATATTAGAATTAAAAAACATTAAATGATTTAAGGGACAAAAATATTGACTTAATTTACTATGCCATCCTTCCACTGCGTTTGTAGTCCGATGTCTGTGCCTCGAACATATCCAAATATTTTGGATAATTGGATTATCTAACCATTGTGAAGTAAAATAATCATTAAATGTAATAACTAGATTATTCATAGGTGAAGTTTCCATTATAATCAGCTATCCCTCATCGATATTTTCTTCGGGTAAATGAGCCAAAGCAGCACACATTCTAATATGATTTCGTACTTTACTTTTGATTACGATATGATAACACTAAACCTAAATCTTGAACTTTGCGCTATATGGCCTGATTAAAGTGAAAATTGCATCCATGAATGACAGTTTTGGGAAATACATCTTATTGCATTTATGGTAGCTACTTCAAAATCCAATTTAAATACTTTCGGTGAAAAATTTTTAAACTTTGAAACAAGCAAGGAAAAGAGTCTTAAATTGGTTTTTTCTTCCTTATTCGGCAAAAGAGCAAAAATTACTGGAATAATAGAAGTACTATCCTCGGTACTTTTTACATCTGCATGTATAGTGTACAATTAAAAAAATAATAAGGAACAGCTCTTAAATGTTCCGTCTCCAAAAAATACTTCACTTTCATTTAATAAAGATTCACGTACGTTACTAAATATTAATATCTGTCTGTCTTCTATAACTAAAAAGTTTTCCGCTTAGATTAAAGAGACCGAAGATGTAACATTGCACACTGCGCATGTTGTCTATTTTAAGCCAAAGTAACCCACCAATTGAAAATCATTGTTGCACGACGCCACCCGAATTGCTCCGATTTCCATTTAGCGATCACCTCCACCTGAGTTTAATCACCATTGACAGCTGTTTTTTGATTTATTTGTTGGTATTTTAGCAATTTAAAGTGTTCTAGTTATTCAATTTCAAGTTCAAAATGTCACGATGTATCTTGAAAAATTGTATGTACTTATAATACAAGTACTACTGTTATAAATATATTCGTTTTCAGCGGTAAATATTTATTAACGTTTTGACATAAAGCGCCATGATTCTCTGGGCTGAATACTTCAGATCCTCATTAAGGGGTGGCAATAAATATTAAGCATCAGAAATCAGATTTCATATTACTTACATAAATTTACAAAAGGGTAAAATTTTGAACATTTAATTTATATAAATAGTAAATATGCATTATTGCTAACGAAATTTTGTATTTAAAAAGTAGTTTAATAAGAATGTTTTCTAAAGGTAGTTTTTAGCCCTTTTTGGTAAATAAATAAAAGGTAAAGAATCATAGTTGCTAGCTAAATTTTATTTTTATAAGGTATTTTTATAAGGTATTATTATAAAAAAAATAGATGAAATACAGGATGACCTACTTAAAATTTCAAGGTTCATCTTATTTGCGGTCAAATCGAAAGTGACATTGAATTTTCAGTCTTAAAACAAAGTAATCTAGTATAAGCCCAAAAAAAAATACTAAAGTTACAGGAGTTAGGTCCGATTTCACCGTTGTGTTAAACGGAGATTAAAATGACAGTGTTAATGTAAAAATGTCATTTTAAACTTCGTTTAACACAACGGTGGAATCGACCCTTAGTCACGTTAATAAAATGTTACATTACAAACCCCTAAACAACTCGAACATAATTTTCGTTTACTAAAAAAAATCCAAAATTTAGCAATATTTATTTATTATACAATCGAATGCGATTTCAAAGAAAACTGGATCAAAAAATCCGAATCTCTAAATTTTGGAGCTAAATGCTCAGATAAAAGCAAGCGACCGATAGGGGTTACAAAAATAATCGATTTATCGATAATTCTGATATTTTTTAATGAAAATCGATTTATCCGCTGTTTTTAATAAATTATTTTCGTTTTTTTTTAAGATAATGTATTAATCGATTTTAAAGGAAATACAAAAAAAGTAGATTTATTTAAAATAATCGATTTATCGTTTAATCGGTTTTTTAATTATTTGATTATTTTCGATTTTTCGAAGATATTATATGAAAATAATCGATTGAATATAATCGGTTATTTTACATAATCGATATTTTTGTAATTTTTTTAAAATTATCGATTTATTGGATAATCAGCTTTTTAATAATCAATTATTTTCGATAATCGAATAATCAATTTCAAAGGAAATATGAAAAAAGGATTATTAGAAAATAATAGATAATTCGTTTTATTTTTTGGAAAATCGATTTATCATAGAATCGGCTTCTTAATTAATTGGTTATTTTCGATTAGGCGATTATTTTGGAATTATTGATTATTTTTGGTATTTCAAAGATAATCGAATTATCGATTTTAAAGGAAATACAATAAAAATAGATTATTGATAATAATCGATTGATCGAAAATAATCAATTATTTAAAATAATCGATCATTCTGTTTTTTTTTAAATCGATTTATCAGTTAATCGACTTTTTAATTAATCGATTATTTTTGATTAATCGATTATTTTCGAATAATCTGTTTCCATGGACGAAAAAAAAATGGTTTATTTGAAAATAATCGATTATTTAAAATAAACGATTATTCTATTTATATTATATTTTGTAAACACTGATTTATCGGTTAATTGGCTTTTTAATTAATCGATCATTTTTGATTTTTCAAAGATAATCAAGTAGTCGATTTTAAAGGAAATGACAAAAAATATATTGTTTGAAAATAATCGATTGATCGAAAATAATCGATTATTTTCAATGATCGATAATTTATTTCGATAATTACTCATCCCTAGCGACCAAATGACTTTTAATAGATTTAAATTTTAAAATGTTATCTGGTTTCAGACATAAGCATTTCTAGAGTTTTATGTGACTCATCCTTTATAATAATTAATATTCCTAAAGAAAGAAGCCTTAACATACCTTTTTCTGAGGTTATAATACAAAACAGCATTTTCTCATTTTGACTAATTTTTATTATTATGTAATAGCCGTAGAAAAAATATAATGTTCAACTCATAAGGGTAGATTTGCAGTATTAGCCTGCGCACATGCTATTTTTATAATACTCGTAGACAATGAGTAACATTTTTTGCTCTATTAACAATATATTCTATTTCAACATTTTACTGTAATCTCTTGCAGAAAAGTCCGTAGTAAATAAACGCTAACGAAATATTCTATAAAAGGTCTTCTCTTTACATAAAATGTCGTGGCATCTCTTTGATATTAAAAAATCACGATAATTTTATTTCATAATACAAAATTCGATTAAACACCTTTTAAATAAACCTAATAGTTCATTAAGATGCTAATAAACAAAGTCCGGTCCCTGTCACAGAGTTCGGGTCGCCGCCCAGTTCCCCCACTCCGTTAACCCTTCTTTAGAAATTGGCAACATTTGCGCAGGTTTAAAACCGGTGTATGTTATATCTCTGGTCTCTTTTATCTAAGGTTTTCCGCTAATTGTGGTGGCAACACAATTTCAGATCTGTGTTTCGGTAATGAAACTTTTCCAAATGTTTTTTGCCTAGCACGATAAAGGTTTGATTTTACTGAATTTAACTCAGAAATTTTGATCACAAACTCCAGTCCTAGATTTTTAATGTCTTTGAATTCACTACTTACAATTTGAGGAATAGGTGTAAATTCTTCTCTTGCTCGCTTTTTACACTGAAAAACACACTTTTCAACTTCTCTTTTAGCTATATCCAAAACACAAGTATGATCTTTTTTCCCCAAAATTTGTTTCTTGTCATTTGTTGTAGAAACACGTCCACCACAGTTTCTATTAGAACACCTCCAAGATACATTTCCATTTTTATAAATTTCTTTTATCTGATATCTGTAACCACCATTAATAAGTAGGGGTTTGCTTTTGCTAGTTTCAATAATTTCAATCTCACTATCCATTTTTAAGAACACCTTTCACTTTCAAATCTTTACTGACAATAAAAACAAATATTTATTATTTACGAAAAGAACATAAAAGGACATATCCAAATGGCAGGGTAACTAATCCTT